TAATGTTCCACTTTAGGTTTTAAAAGACTGCAAAACGGACATGAAAAATTAGTGTAAATTTTTAGTGAGTGTGCCATGGAAGGGGTCAGACCCACATTGTGCCAGAACTTAAATACATTGTCTTTTTCCGGGTTTGACACTGGAGTGGTTGCTAAGCGGAGCCACTGTGGGTGAGAGGAGAGAACATCGTCCAAATCTTCCTATTTAATTTTATTGTGCACCCGTAAGCAGTGTAGGTAGTTGGTTGCCTTGGCAACCGCAACCCTTTCTGACTTACTATACAGTGAATAAATGTCTAGCTTAACTTCAAATGAGTCGGTAACCATGGCAACCGCATCAATGTATTTTTTTCTTTCCGAAAAAGCATGCCTTTTCACTGCTGCTGGTAATGACTCGATAGATTTTAATTGGTTTAGACCATAGAGGTCCCCAACCTTTATTATCGTACAACGAGATAAATAATTACTACTCAAATTCCTAAATAGAAATTGGCTACCAATCGAAATATTATGCAGATAATCCCTGCTACACGCGGCAAGTCCAACGCCAAGCTGCCGGGTCACATTATACAATTCTTTATAAAAGGTTGATAGTTAAGCAAATTGAGAATTAATTAATAATTGGACTTGGTTATTAGATTCAGCGAGAAAATAAGTGTCCTCACATTAGGACAAAACTTTATTTAAGAGAGTTAGTTGAAAAGTGGCAATCTGTGCTCCGGGATTACGCACGCCTAGACCCCCATTCACTTGCGGTAAGTAAACGTAGGGTCTTGAAACCCATCTTTTTGACCCTGACCACACGTAATTTTCGATTTTCTTGGAAATTGCATCCAAAACTCCCTTCGGTGGGTCCAGTACTTTAAAAATGTACCAAAATATTGGACTGAGAAATGTATTCACAATTTTACTACGTGAAAAGTGACTAACTGGGGCTCACTTTTTAGTGTAAAATTCTAACTTCGAGTCAAATTTGTCCATTAAAACAGTAAAATTTTGTGCCATGAAATTATTGTTTCCAAAATAAATTCCCAAAATTTTCAGGCCATCTGAAACTACGGGGAATCTAGTTACGTGGGGCGCCTGGGCACCTAATATCAGAATTACGGACTTAAGATCATTTAATTTTGACGATGAAAATTGTGAATACTTTTCGTACTCCGACTCAACTATGCTGATTTGGCTCTGATGACCAAGGAGGACGTTTGTGTCATCCGCATACGCCGAAATATACTTGTTCGGATGTCTGACCCAGGCGCTGGGGCCCGAGAGTCGCAACTTTCTATGCAAATTAAATAATAATGGTTCGATCGCGATGCAGTAGAGAGGACTCGCACTCGGGTCGCCCTGTTTGAGACCGACTCCGACTGATATGGGGGCCGTGAGATCACTGCCCACCGACACCACCAAGGTGAAATCGGTGTGCAGTAATTTCACATATTTAATAAAATTATCAGGATATCCGAAATTTTTTAAGACTCTATAAAGATATTCCAGATTTACACGATCATATGCAGCCTCTTGATCGAGACTAAAAAGAAAGCCTTCAAGTTCACCACTCTGAAATGCATCGCGGATGAAGGACAAATTGTCAAATATTGACCTCCCTCTAACACCACACGTCTGCCACGGACCTATGATGGAGGGGAGGGCAATATTTAAGCGAGACTTTACACAGCTTGAAATGATTTTATAATCAGTATTGGTTAAAGAAATAGTGCGGTAATTTTTTAGGTTTTTGGGGTCACCAGCCTTATAAATTAAGGTGGCGACGGAACTCTTGCACGATTTTGGCAGAAAACCCTCGGCACACGAAAATGTAGCTAAATTGCTTAAAATTTTACTGAATTGACCTGAGAATTTCTTGTAAAATTCGAACGTTAAGCCGTCTAAACCCGGGGCTTTATTATTTGGGGATTTTTGAATAGCTTGTAAAATCTCGTTACAAGACAAGTCACTCTCATAAATTCCAGGATTTGGGATTTTTGGCATATCAGACATAAAATTATTAAGGTTTGATAAGTTTACAGTAGACGGGGCAAACTTCTCCGCAAAAAATGAGCCCACCATTTTTAGCTTTTCGCCAGATGACAATCCATCCAGCGCCTCATCTACAGTGATATCCACGCGTGTGGTTACCACTTTTCTATCGGGGAAATCACTGCATACGCCCTCACCACGTATGGCACCTTCTATACTGTCTATAAAATTCGTAAAAATTTCGGAACTTGGTACATTTTGTGTGTGAATCAATTTGTTGTATGTTAAACGGACTAGTCTCTTAATATTCATTTTGCAATACAAGTCGGTTTCCATGGCAACCCGTATTATTTTACTCTTTAGTCTTTCGTACTTTTCTAATGAGAAATCGGATAACAAGAAATCTCTTAAAATCAATTCGACCGTAAAGATAAAGCCCGAATTATTTAAAATTGTATTTGGACATGACCACTTATTATTATTTTTCTTGGTTGTCATAGTTATGCCGAAGACCATGTGGTCACCGATGAACGGTATAATGGTTTGACTGACTAAATTTGGTAATTGTGAGACCTGAAGATATATCCTGTCTAATCTAGCGGAAGTACCATTCATTCTGCTCACAAAGGTAACCAATTTACCTTGGGGGCAAAGATGACGGTAACTATCAACAAAATTACAAGAATAAATTAAATTTTGAAAGGTTTTAGCGACACCTTTTCTACTTTCACAATTGCCAATTCTATCCCTCTCTGTGTCCACTACAAAGTTCCAGTCTCCTAGTAAGAGGATACCATCGTATAAGGGGGCAGCAGTGATCTCTTTCCTTATTTTAACTAAAAATTCATCAGACTCTGTTTTAAGGAATGGGAAATGTACATTTATTATTATAAAAGATTGGGATAGGAATTGAAATATAATTTTACTCATTTTACCAGGCGCAATCACATCATGACTGATAACCGAGCATTTATGATGTACATAAAATGCTGTACCACTACCTAAAGTTGTACAATCATTGTAATATGGAGTATAATTTTGTATATTGAAAATACCATGACGAATCGGGATAAGATTTGTTTCCTGAAGGCAAACTATAGTGGGATTAAAAGAATTGATAAGCGATTTAAGGGACTGTTTTTTTATTGAATTATTAAACCCTTGACAGTTCAAGGTCCATATAGAAATTACCATTTTATATCAAAAAAATGGGCCTTATAACTATCTTGATCAGGTACAGGAATTTTATTCAGACGGCAAAAGCTTTGCCATTCCATCGACCGATAATTTTGGTCAAGCTGGGCTTGAACTTTTGGATAATTGTCCTGTTCTAATTCTAGAAAACTCTTAACCTGGTTCAACAGGAAAGCATATTTTGTTACCAGAGAGGTATTGCTACTTGGGATCGAGCTGTGAACCTCCACCAATAGGGATTTGATATCTTCGGGGGTTTTTGTGGTCATAAATATTTGCTGGCCTAAATTGACATATTTGCATTTAATATTATTATTCTCTCTGCGGAGAGAACGCAAGAAGAGAATAAATCTTTCTTTGGTAACAGATTTTATCTGTAAATTCACGTTCCATAATTCGAACCCCCATTCGCTCATTGTTTGGGATTTAGGGTTAGAGTTTCGAGCTTTGACTTGCGCCCGTGCCCTTCGACGTGACTGGGAGGAGGATCTTTGAGAGGTATCACTTCAGAGACCTCCTCTGCACCGATATCTTGGAGGTCAAGCGTTCTTCGGCGTTTGAAAGGGGGTATTGAATCCCTGACCTCATTATCGTTATTGGTGTCGGTAATCTTACGCAAAACTGGGGGATCCGCGTTACCCTGCAACGAGTCAACTTGGTTGCTAGGCAACGAGTCACCCGGGTTGCTAGGCAACGGTTGGCCTGTTTTTTCGGGTTTCTTAAAAGTACAATTAGCACTAATATGGCCTTTTCGGGCGCACTTGAAGCACTTTTTGGCTCCAATTTGTACACGAAGTTTGTATACTTTACCATTGGCCTTGACCGTGACAACGTGAGGGACCCTTACCCCTTTCGGGATTGCTAACTCAATAATTCTATATATCGTTCATCCCATGCTACTCGGAATGACCATGCCCCCAACCCCTTTGCCTACACACGGCGATCCTTTCTCAGATGGAATAATTTTGGGGACAAGCTGGAGCGGAAAAAATAGACATATTTTTCATGATGGCGATGTATGTACACTCTTAGCAACTTGGTAAAGAATTCCTAATAAGCGTCTTTACCGAGCTCTTGGTAATTACGCGTGCTACAAAAATTATACGGGGTTATTACCGTATCAATACCAAACGGGTAACTAGCCTTCCACCGCAATATTTTAAACCATCATTATAATTTTGGTAATAAATCCCTACGAGCCGGTAATTATATCCTTCAAATTTAGAAAACACTCTTTACCATAATTTTAATCACGTGCGCCACAAGTTGTGGTGCTGATGAGATCTACATTTTGGTGTAGTTTACTACCATAGAGGTAAGAATTTTAATACATTTGGTATGAATTGTGAGACGCTACACAGTGGCGCGTTTTTCGGTTTTAGTTTCCGCTCAACTCAAGTCAACATGCCGAAACCAATTCTGCCCGACGGAAAAAACTGACAAAAACTTCTGGAAATTATATAGAATTTTTGGAAACAGGTAAGTATCAAATTATCAAATGTAGGTGCCCAATCAAGATGGTGATCTTGATTGGGCACCTACATTTTGCAATGCACCATCTTAATAGGAACTAGTATGTAAATAACAATCTTAAGTTTATTTTTTCAGTGAAGCAAAAATTTGAGTTGGAAATCGGAACGGAGATTTTTCTGCAAGACGACTAGGGGGAGGAGATCGACGACGAAGGTTTCATCAATAATTTACGGTGAGTAATTTATTAAACTTAAATTATTCTTAGTCTGCAACATATCGTATATTTTTAGTTACACATCCTGATGAGTCGCCGATGTCCAGTAATGATTTCAGAAGAACCCAAATTTCCAATGATTTTGATATTTTCACTCAGGTTACAATCAGTTAACGGTATTTTTAGCTATCCGAAAATAAATACATAAAATCAATTTTAAATTTTGAAGATTGTAAACGCTGCAGTCACTGAGAGCGTCAAAATTTTCCGTTTAGTTGCAGAGTGCAATGAGAAAAACTGCGTCGATAAAACGTCGTCGACAACTTTAGCTAATGAATTTGTAGCCAAGTTAATATAGGTGAAAGGGTGAGTCATTAAAGCCTTCTTAATATTTAATAATATATTTAATTTGATCAATTAAATTTCAAAGTTTCTGTTACAACCTCCTATCAGAAACACTTAGCAGCCGCAATAATCAGGCTACTACCTTCATAAAGATATTCTAAGTCAGTGGAGGGTCTGGTGAGTGAAAATTCGCGAATTATTTAAATGTGCTCGTGATTGAGAATTTCTAAAAATTGTGAATTTTTAATCTGCAGAACATTTTATTTGGTGACGTCCACCGATGTGGACTCATCTAAAATCGATGATTTATCGGAATTTGAAGGGGGAACAGAAGAATAAATATGTAAATATGTATGTATTTATGTAACTCAATAGTTTTCATTATACTCAAATTTTATAATTATGTATGTTTCAAAATGATTTTATAACAAATATAATTGATTAAAAGATTATTGTAAAGAAAAGCGAAAAATCTAGTATTTTCGGTGGAAATCTGCACAACATTTGGTAATAATGGGGTATACATAATAAAAAGCATTAATACCGGTATGAATAGCACACCGTGTACAAAGTGGTATGGTTTATTACCAAGTGGTAGACATTGTACTACATTTTGTAGTACATCTGTCATACATCATGGTATTAATTTTATCCCAAAAAGTGTTCTTTATTACCACTTCGGGTTCAATCAATTTCTTTACCAGCTGGTGGTTATTATTACCGTTTCTGCAGAGTCATATACGTGTGCATTTTGGTAATGATTTGGTAATGATTTTATTTAGACTCTATAGAGTCTCGTGGCATGGTTATGCAAGGTAGGTGCCATGTTGCTCAATACTAGATGCTTAAAGCTTGCACTGATTTTGTCCCTTAAAAATTAGCGAGAAAATTTTTGCGAATTGTTAGACAGCGAATTAACTCGAATTATTGTAGCTTTAAGCTTCTTAGGGGAATTTGCTCGACAGAAATTACTAAACATGGTTCTCAGTTTAATCTTCATAGAGTTTTTTGAACTTTTTGAAAATTTCAGCTTCTTCTACAAATTCGACGCAAACGACACAGCTATACGTAGGTGTTTTACTATTGATTTTCAAAACGTATGTTCCGCATTGTTTCTGACCAAAATTTTAATGAAATAACAAACTTCAGATACATTTAGGATGCTGTGATTTTTTCAGCTCTTTAGGTTAACATCACCACTAGCAATAAATCAGCAAACTTTACCTCGACGGAAAAAATGTCAGATTTGCAAATTAAATATCGTAGTGTGATTTAACTTTTAACGCTGGAAGGGCAATCGGTGTCGCAGATTTATGATCGCATGCTTAAAGTTTACGATGAAAACTGCCCAACACAAAGCACAATATAATTTGGATCAGTAACTTCAAATGATGGCGAAAAGTGGTCTCGGACAAAAAGTCGCCAGGACGCCCAAAATCAGTTTCTTCCACAAAAAGGCTCCAGAAACTAGAGGAACCAATAATTAGAGATCCACGATTGAAACTGTCCTATTTAGCAGATAAGATGGGTGTTCCAAAACCAGCAATTTGTTCCATGTTAACTGAAGACTTAGGTATGAAAATGGCTTCCGCCCGTTGGGTACCAAAATTGCTTTCGGCATCTCAACAACAAGATCGAGTTGACCTTTGCAATGCCAATTTTAACCTATTAAATGAAAACTGGAACCTGCTTCATATTTTAGTAGTTGCATATGATACTTGGGTTTACTATTATGACCTGCAGACTAAACAATACTTCATGCAATGGGAGCACGGGGGGTTGCCACCGCCCATGAAAGCAAAAGCGTAAAAATCTGCCAAAAAATTGATTATGACTATTTACAATGATACAAAAGGTCCCCTTCTTACATAATTTCTTGCTGGAATGCAGGAACCCCGACCGAGCTGCGTGCTGCGGTTGAAGAGAAACGTGAGGTCAAAATAAATAGTTGGCCTTTTTTTAGACGACAACGCGCCAACAAATACCTCGCTGGTTTCGAGGGCTGCTGCAGACGAAAAACGCTTCACCGTCATAAACCACCCCCCGTACAGTCCAGCCTTGACCCTTAGTGATTATTATCCGTTTCAAACGTTGAATAAAAGCATGAAGGGGAAACGATTTTGGGATGATAATGGAATCAAGTCGTAAATTTTTGCATATTTTCGAGGTAAATTTGGATGATTTATTGCGGGTGTTCCTTTTAACCGATTGAGCTGAAAAAAATCACGACTTCCTGAATGTATTTCAAGTTTGTTATTTCATCAAAATTTTGGTCAGAAACAGTGCGGAACATACCTTTTGAAAATCAATAAAAAAACACCCACGTATTCCGTCCAAACTGCGCGCACGTGGTAGGGTATAATCTGAATTATAGAGGCCAAGCTGGTTCCGACGGGTCAACGTCTTTCGCTTGTCTAGCAATACACCCTGGAAATGAAGTTTCGGTTAAATGGACAACTTCTGCAGAAACTCAAGGTCAAGAGGTCAACTGGGATGACCCTGGCAGTATCACCATATGGCAGAACAGGGTTCCATGCATTCGCTACTGTCAAGTTCACGGGAGCTTTTCCAGTGATGAAGGTGTCATTTCTTTTGCAATTGGAGGCAAATTAATTTGTATGGGCAAATCATAAAATTCTAATACAAGCCTTTGAAAGAATTGGAAATTTAATATCATTGGTTAACTTCAACTAAATCAGCTTCAACTAAAAAAAATTTGATAATTCTGTTTCCTGTGTAAATTTATCTTAATGCAAACTTCAAATCCGTATTCCTTCAACAAAAGTGAAATGCAGACCCCCTGGTGGCATAAATATATTTTCATAATCATTGATAAATCCGACTACTTACATATTTTGCATAAACTTTATCAACTCAATCGACCTTTATGACTTGATCGTATGTTGCATATTATTGAAGAGTGGAATATGTACAAGTAAAAATGCAAATATAAGTAATCTAATTGCATAATTCACATCAGTTAAATATTTAACTTAATCATTAAATCTGTGTCCCATCACATTTTTATCAATTTTAACTTCTTAGCTTTTAAGAAAATATTTGACACCTGTTTGCTAATTTAAGCGAGAAAAAATTGGAGTAAAATGGACAATTCTTTTCATATAAATTCATGAATTTATGCCTCTCGCATACATGTTCGAATACATGTTTTTCAAAGACTAAATAATGAATGGTTTTACTGAAATGAAATTTCGAAAATATTTTATTTTCAATTGTTATATACTTTGAGATGAATTCTTACATAATTTAGACAATATTTAGGAACTTTGCTGGATCAAATTACATACATGGTTTAAGTACATGCATTTTGAAAATTCAGAGAAAAGTATGAAAAAACTGTGATCACAAATTTTAGGAAACTTAAGCCATCGCTTTCTCCCCGTCAACTTTGGTCTTGTCCTTTTTATCCTTCTTTTCCTTCTTTTTCTTCTCGATCCTCTTGATTCCGTAGGTCTTCAAGACTTCGTCCTGCAATTGACGCATGATTTGGAAGAGCTCCTCGTCCTTTACGATCGCCTCTTCGAGACCCTCCATGTAAGCCTCCACGTCTGGAATAGTGCCGCCAAATTCGACCGGGAGAAAGGCGGGATCCACCAACTTGGTGATGACGGACGTCTCATTTTTCGTGATGTGGACCAAACTCTTAATATCCTTGGGGAGAATGCCTGCAAATTTTGAAAGATGAAATTTTTTTAGATGGTTTTATTTTAGGCTGCATTTTTTAAATGATTCTTTTTAGAAAAATTGGAATATGTACTGAGTCTTTAGCAGTTAAGTAATTTGAGAAAAAATTTTATCAAGAAGTAAGAACTTTAAAACATTTTTTCAAATTGTGAACTCAATTTTCGTAAGATTGTAAAGTTTACAAAATAGTTCACAAATTTCGTAATAGTTGAATCCTGCCTGCAGTTAATTTACGAGAAAACTTTGTCAAGAATATCAATTTCGGAATTATTTGTAGCAAGATTTTTCAAAATTTTGCGAGAGTTGCAAATCCTCTCGTTAACTGTGACGCTCCATGCATACCTTTGAAAAGATTGTAGGTCTCTTCGACCAAGGCGAACGAGTTGAAGGCGACGATTCCTTTCGCCAACGCGGTGGCGGATGGGGGTACGCATGCGTGGAATTTCAATCCCATCTTAACCAGGTCCACGGTTACTTGGCGGGCGTGTTTGAGTTTAAATCCCGCCATGTCTTGAATCTCGAGCAAACCGTTGGCCAGAAGGTTAGGGTTTGTGCGGAGGACCCACCAGACATAGACGACCCCAGCGAGGACAATTTCTTCAATGGAACCGTCCGAAATGTGCCAGTTTCCTGAAGGATGAAAAAAAATTCGGGTTAAAAACGAAGGCATTTCACTTTTAGAAGAGCGTTTTCAAATTTCATATTTTTTCCGAACTATTTATTTTGAAAATTTAGAGTCCATTGGTACTTGAAAAATCCGTGCTTTTTGTAAAATAATTTTGTGCTATTTTACTAAACCAAGAGATAACCTTGATCTGAGCCATTTTAAACAAATTTATTTGCCCATTTTTGTTGGAAATAGTTGCAAAATTTTGTAAAAGTTTGTGTTTACAGAATTTGTAAATTTTTAACTGTGTGAATTGTCTCATTGAATTATTAGCTAAAAAAATCGATTGAAACGCCACGTGGGATTTTATTACACAGAAAGAAGTAATAAATCTCACTTCACCACTTTTAATTATTAACCTTCTGGATAATTGCGTAATTTACAAAACCTTACCAAACTTGTAATATTAATATTTAATCCAGGAAAAAATTCGCAATACTCAGAAATTATTACACAATCATTATGTATAAATATGTATGTAATGAATGTACATTTCATAGTAAAAAACTATCACAAAAAATTGCAATATTGTGTAATTGAAACGTGTGGGAAATTCAGGAGTGCAATATTTAATGAGGATGATTGATTACATACCAACTCTGCAAATCAGGATGGCTGGAGCGCCTGGTTTTTGCTTCACAATTTGGAAAGTTTTCCTCTCAATGAGTGCCTTGAAGTTGGCAGGGTCGATCGATCCCAGGAGGGAGGAGTACTTCTTGGTCAGAAGGGGGTGCATGTCCTTCAACTATTTATTAAACAATATGCACACTCTTAAAAACTGGTATAAAATTATTACCTTCCGGAGTAAATATATCTGCTAGCATGGTAATAACGAGCATGGCTGTTTAGTAATGCTTTGGTAATGCAAATTTACCACTCAGAAACAGACTACTACCAATGCGGGAGGAAATGACTACCGAATCAATACCATTATGGAATACATGTGTTAACTCTGCTAGATTTTTTACCGTATGTGATAAATAATTATACTTGAAGTGAGTTAGTTATGTGCTGTGCGAATGGAGCTAAACTCACGAGAAACCCTAGTCTCAGCACAAGGTACTTCAGGAGGCCGTAGGTTTAAGCTCCACCCGCACAGTACATAACTCGTTCACTTTATGTATAAAAATGTTAAACTGGAAATTTATACCAAATCAGGAAATAACTTGAGCTAAATGTGAATATGTATTCGCAATTTTTGAGATATGCAAATTTTCATGATTTCTGTGCAAAAAAATAATCATTACCGCTTTGAAAGCTGTGGTAGGACTTCCATCGCAAAATCTGAGACCAACAGCGGCCGCACTTTTGACGGCGTACTTCTTCCAGATTTTCAATTCTTCGTCCCCTTTAATTTATAAAAAAAAATCAAGTTTAAGTGATCTCTTAACAAAACAAACTACGGAAAATAGGCTGATTAAAATTGTGTATATATAATTGAAATTTCGGAAATTTAATTAACTTCAATTACGTACCGTCAATTAACTCGAGAAGTTCTTTAACTGCTTTCTCTTCTTCTGGAGTATAGACGAAGTTGGGATCGTCATATTTTTGCAGGGCGGACTCCAAGTTATCGATGGCAACAACCATTTCGGAAATCTTTTGCGGAACTGGAAATTCTTAAAATATGTACTTTACGAGAAGGATTGCGAATTCAGACTGAGCTTTGTGGAGCAAAGTTTGCTACAATTTATTTCAATTTGATGCTGAATTTCCAGTGTCATGATCCACACATACGAAAGGTAAGGCCGACGTTAATTGCATCAGTGTTGCAATGTGCGGCTTTTTCTGACTGCTTTGCTTGGCTCGAGTTCATTTCATGGTCATTAATGGTGCCAGGGTTCGGAATGGGGAGACCATTTCAGGTTTAATTTGTATGGTGTGATTTTGCCATAGGACATGTCCATCGAGTCTGGGATACACATGTTGTGCAAAAACAGGGTCACAAAATGATGCTTTTCGCACAAAATTCTGCATTATTGGTACAAAACCACGTTTTTTAACAAAACTACGCATTTTGCAGTAAAACACGCTTTTTGCTCGAAGAAGATACACAATATATTAATTTTGATATTAGAAAAACACGTTTTTGTAATAAAACGTGCTTTTTTCCTTGAAATGAGACATGCTTTGCAAAATTAACATACCAACTACAAATTTTTAATTTTAACAAAATATGCAGCAAATATTTATGTACATACGTAAAGCCATCCAAAAATATCATGATCTAGATTGGTTTTTGACATTTAGGATTTCGTGCCCTTTTGGAACCCTATTCATTCCAATCTTACTTCGAAGCCACACTCCATTAGTTTCTTATACAAACATACATACTTTGTGAATTACAGTGAATGGGGTAAGTATCAAATAATGACGAGTACTGCATGGAAACCAGTTTCTTGTTCAATGACGCTCAATAAATGCATTATTTCTTAAACCTGTAGCAAGTAAGTAATGATGCGAATTGTGTTACGTGCTTAACTGGGATTTCCTTCCAGGATGAGGTTAGTTGGCTTAATCTGTATAGAGGTTCTCACCAAGTAAGGAAAAAGTGGTATTTTTCCTGGTTGACGAGTTAATAAGTAAGAAAGGAGTAAGGATTGAGAAATTCACTAGTGATCCATTTATTCTTAATTAATTATTTGGCCTGTATGCAGGTAAGACATGAATGAGCCAGGTAGTCGTTAAGGTAGGGAAGAAGAAGAAGAGTTAATAAGGATGGGAAATTATCCATGAGTAATCAATCATTATCATCTCAACTAATTTTTACGTATCAGGGTTGTAAAGGTTATAAAATTGTGCATCCTGGCTTTACAACAGTTATGTATGTATGTATAAACCACTAAATTTTGTTAATTTTTCTTTCGAAAACCTTCCAGAAGTTTGGGACCTGTCGGTAAAAATGTGATCCATTAAGGTTATCCATATGGATGTAATTATTTGCTTATGCAATTTGGGGGTATGTACACGTGGATTTATATGTACATAATGGATTTACCTATTTATGATCACCTGATTTATGACGCTAAACAGGATAAAAATATTTTCCAGAAAATTCATTCATTCATGTAAGGAAGGTAGATGAACAAGTAAAGTGGAAACATTAAAGTCAAGTGCTGTCCAAGTTTTAAAAATATGTATGTGGGAAAATATGCAGCATATTTTCATGGATTATTTATGTTGGGTACTAATCATCTGAAAATCATGATAGCAAATCTCATTCTTAGCTAATAACTGGATATGAAATTAAATCTCATTAGTTATGTAGCATTCTTAAAAATAATGTTACCCTCTTGAGAACTAAATTCAATATTAAGTAAGCAAAACAAAACGTGACTTTTATCAAGTTAACGTTACTCCGAATTTACTATATGTAACTTTCGTAATATATATATTTTGAACTCGGAGTGCATTTATTTTTCACAAAGATAGCATCATTTTCAAGAGCGTATTGTACATATCTATCTAACCAAAAATATGTTGTTAATTGTGTACTCACATATGTATGTATGCATGTAACCTTTTCTGACACGACCTTTCCACACGTTTACCCTTGCGAAAGGTGAGCCATAAAATTCTTGCTGTCAATTCACCCATAATTTAGTAGGGATTAGAGATGCAATCAACTCGTCAATCTTAATATGAGGTAAAGTACACAAGAAATCTTAATAGTACACATACACACATATCTTAATAAACTTTTATGACTTCCAGACCCACGGATGCATAAATTACTTATATCCACATAAACACCTCGGGGAGTCATATCTCGGCACAAAATCGCCCATAAAACCAGTGCCACGATGAGATTGCTGACACACTACGATTGTACTTAACCCAAACTTTAACTGATGTTTTATCACATCACATTACACAAACAAAGGAATTCTCAACGCGCTGTTATGCATGGAGAGTAAGTCGAATTAATTAAGTATTTATGTATGTAGGCAGCATCACATTGTCAGTCTTGACAATGGTTAGTTTAGTGAGGATAATGTGGTGTGAGATAAGAGGGGCTGTGCAAAAGAGATGTATGCTATTATTTAATTGGCGAGTTACACATAAAGACAAATCATTAAGAGTCATGAATTTCAATAATTTGGAATAATTATTTGTATAAAAATTGGCAAACTATTTGCAAAAATCTTACGTGACGATATAGACCGCAGAAATTTTAGTAGTGAGAAACAACCTCTGCAAAACAAATCATTAATCAGCCCACGTGTCATCAACGTGGTAGCTAAATTTTGCCAGCATTTGGCAAACTTCTTGAAATGCAAAGCCAAAGATTTTCCTATGTTTGAAAATTCTTATATGAGATTCTGCCACAATTGGCAACTTAATTTTTGATTGTAGATTTTTTTGGGAACGATGTTTCTGTTCAGCCCGCATAAATTTTCTTTGCGTTACAATCTATCTGCATCAAGGTTTTGCGGTGGTGTCTGTATGAGACGAATTTAACTCTTTTATGTAATCCTGGGTTGTGTAGGTTGTGAGAATTTTTAGTAAACTTTGTGATGATTCTCCATACCAGAGAGAATTCCAACTTGGCAAAAAAGAAATCCTCGTCAACAAACAATAATATTTGCACTTGGCATGTTCAACTGTGAGCACATTGTTTGTTGAATTCATCATGAAGTCGTCGTTTCTCTTTGGCTGGATAATCCTCTTTTTGCTGGTTTCCTTCTCTGGTCAGGCATGGAGTCAAGGTTTTATTGGAAGTAAGTGATTATAAATACGTAATTGACGACGTAAATTTCATTTTTAATCGAATTGTAATTAAGAAAGGGTGAATTTTGTGATGAAAAAATTTGTATGACGCAGTAGAGAAATATTGGGCCTACCCACGTCACTTAATTCGTTCATAAATTCGTTCATTAATTCGTTCGTTTGCTAAATGGTAAAAAAGTTGATAATTTTCAGGGTAAATTGTCCACTGAAAGTATGGATTTTTATAAAGTGATTGCGTAAAGCTTTTGCAAAATTTACTGCATAAGTTCCGTTGACATGATCAATTTGCAATTTTTGTGAGCAATGCAAAAATTCGCCATGAGTGCGAAAAGAATGCCCACTGCACTGAGACAATTTTAAATAAGCTAAATTTTAAAATGACTAATGAATCAAAAATTTTACAAAAATTTCCAAAGAAAATTACTTGGTTTTCATATTAGTAAACTTCCCAATGTTTCTTAAGTGGTGTGTGCACGTACATATATTTCATTACAAAATAAATACACCCATGTGCATGCGTTTTAAAGCTTAAAAAATAAATTGCAAAGATTTTAGTTCGAAATTTTTACAAGTTTTAAAATGTAAATACGTAAAAACGTGGCGTTGGACAAAGTTAAAAAATCTGTGTATTGAATTAATCATTTAAAATATTAGCATAAATATCTTTTTAATTCGCATCCATGATCCATCCATAGGTCATCGCTACGTCCAGCTGCCACTTCCTGGTCAGACTGAACAGACGCAACCCGCAGCGTGGCAGTGGAGTCAGGGAAGACGACAGGATTACTCGTACGGCAAATTTATCTTTACAAATTGCCAATTTTTTAATTACATATTTGTTTTTGATAAATAGGAAAGTTCCTCGCCTCGTGCCGCACATTTGTCCAGCCGGATATGTTTCAGCGTATCATGGTTGCGTGAAATATCCCAAAAAGTAACCTGCAAAGAATTGAGCACCAGGAAGCCACCATTTACACAATTACAAAAACAATTACTGTAAATACTCTATTTATAGCCGTGTCTAACAACAGCACAGATTCGTCTGCAATTACAAACCGGGTATAATTGGGGACCCGGGTAAACTTTTATTTCGGTCAAACTTGAAGTATCTAAGAAAATGCATTAAACGAATGCCACAATTAGAGACAAGCTTATTGAATTTTTCCAGCTTGGGCTCAAGACCCAGCTATAAATCGAATATTTACGGTATCTAAGAAATGTCATTACATACACTTTTAAATTCGTTGCGTACACTGTGCATTAAGATTTACACAGTTACTTAAAGATGTACATACATATTTATGTTACATATAACATTGAGGTAATTTACGCAGGCCTTTGTAACATCGTAAAATTCATAAATTTATAAACCCTTACATAATTTTACATACATTTCGGGGAAGATTATGTAGCCTAAAAATTTGTGTAACCTTGCTCAGATCAAGAATGTCTTTTTATTTTGTAAATAAAGGTTTGTAAAATTATTTTACAAAACGCACGGATGTTACAAGTAATCCGTGAATTGTTGTTTATGTAAAAGTATGTAAAAATGTCGAAACTAGTTTATGGAAACTGGCACGGATAAATAGAAGAATTAATCTTTTATAAATAAATAAATTTTGTTCTGAAATTAAAAACAGTTGTTTCTAAATTGGGTTCACTGATATTCAAGAATTGGATTTATTTGTTGCAACTTTTATTCGATTACAATTAAACTTTTTGGAAAGTTTAATCAAGCAGGAATTAATTACGTTTTTGTTTAGGAACATCTTAAAAGTGAAGTAAATAGATACCTATAGATTTATTAAATTGGATTGAGAGACAGCGAAAAATAAACTTGGAAATGAACAATCCTAAATAAATAAGTAAATAGGTATTACTGTAATCTTATTTGTTTAACTTAATTGAAACAAGCTATCTGATGCACTCTAAAATATAATAACACCGTTTTCAACGGTACTATTAAATGCACTCTGAATTCTACGTTAAGCAAACTATGATAAATCCAGATTACACTTTACCCAGTTAAAGTTATTCTGGATTTTGTGAACTTTTAAAAATCTGGTAGGGTGACATATGTACATGTAAATATACTCGGTACTGATGTTGATATGGTAATAATTTCTTACCGGATTGGTAGTAGTTAAGTAAGAGTAACTCCGTAAGAGTTTATTAAATAAAGAATAGAGAGTGCGTCTGCATACTACTGTAAAGCTTAACATTATTCTTAAGAGTGCTTGTCATGAAATATGTAAATTTTAATATGTAACTTTGTATGAATTAAACTACATCCAGAAATAGAAGCGTTTTAACTTTAAGACATCGATTTTGTCATCGGTACTTATTTATGAGAGGATAAAATTCATGATAAACTGTTTTAATGTATAGTATAGCATACATACACACACCTTATTTGTATTATTTCCTATCAGCCTAACTCCGAGTAAGCTTAATTTGCGTCACAAGAAATTAAGCAAGATTTCTCAAATGTTCAAAATTTTCCAGAATTTTCCCAAATAAATATTTCCCACAATGATTGTCACTCCTTTAATGTGGTCGTCCCTTGAACTATTTTCAAAATATTATTCCCACTTTTGGACGTATCCTTTAGAGTGGAACTATGGACAAAGAAGGCTTATCCTGAACCCAAAATCTTCAAAATTATTGTTCAATCTCATCGCCATGGTTACGATTTTTCTCGGCATTTGTGTTTGTTTAAGCCTTCTCATCTCGCATTTCTTTGGTTTCATTAACCTCCTCGAGATTGAAGCGTTGATAACGATGTTGTGCGTATTCTCCGCGGTCCCTGCATTTATAACGGACTGGTTATTTTTAAACTACGCGGATGAAGTTTGTATCAGCGGGAATTATGTGATCCAACTGGAAAAAGGGGTACAACGGCGTAAGTCCAATGTTGAATATTGGCTTGGTAGTAGGGTTTGGGGAGTATCAAGTTTTCTGAGAGGTTTGGTGGCGCAGGTGCTTAGATTTCTTTATCGCGCAGATTTTAGCCTCTGAATATTTAAGACCGGTCTGCCTGCTTAAAAACAAACTACAAATATTTATCGGGTCCTATACTGCCAACTTGTTATGCCCCTTTGACATGTCATTAATGTCACAATCGTCAAAATGCCTGACATTCGAGACTTTTGGGTCAAATATCTACTATAAATGTCAAAATGCCTGTCAACTTGTCATTGAAAGCTATGTGGCATTTTAAATTTTTTCTCATTTTCCCCAATTAAAATTTTTTACCAATATTCTTGATAATGCAAACTATTCATTTTTCTAGGTATCCTATCACGACTTCGTCGACCCGGGGAATCTAACCACCTGGGAATCTACCTCCAAATTTGGCACTACTTCTCCCTCACTCTACCATATTTCGTCGTCATTCTCATTATCTTATCAGGCATAGAATTGGATCCCGCCATTCTATTCGTTAAGCGCATATTGCCCCCAACATGGCAACCCCTTTTCCATGTTTTACATTACTTCGGTCGTGTCGCCTATATCGTTGCGCTAATTCAGTCCTGTCGTAGCATAACTTTCGCCATTTTTCTCGGTACAATTCTCGGACATTTGTCTCTAACTTGTGTCAACTATCTGGACCTGACATCTGTCCGGTTAACGAGCCACGTGCAGAGAAGGGTGGACAAATATCTGCTGGACTATAATAACATGAAGGTCGCAATTCTTCTCGTATCTGAAGCGATCGGAGGTTTGGTCGCGTTCAGTTTACCGAACGGGTTGATATTTACGGTCGTCTGTAATTTTATCTGGATTCGGTTAGGGGACGAAGTACCGATGCCGTTGTATCTCATATTCCCCGTGGTAGGTTTTCTCGCCCCGGTAATTTTTTTGGCCGCGTTCACGCTATTGATTTCCCTGGACGAGGTGACGACCGGGATTCTGAGGAAGTGCAGGTTTCATGCGAGTGGGAGTAGGGAGATGAAATATGTGAGGAGGAGGGTATCGGCGATGCAGCCGATTTCCATGCATGGCGAGCTACTGGGGATGAAGGTGTTTAAATGTAATAGTGCTAATAGGTCGGAGTATTTTAGTGCGATGTTGAACTATACGGTGACTGCGTTAATTACTTCGGGTAGGTCGAGTACAGAGTAAGAAACGTGCAGAAACACATATGTATGTATGTATACATCATATGTATAATTCATGCATATTGGGCACATTCATAGATACATAGATACATATGTACTATACATGCATAAATTTGATGTTTTATTATGCAAAATTTCTTCACAATTCCACAATTAACCATACATAAATATGCATATGATTAGCTACATGTGAATAAAAAACAAGAAACCTGATTGGTGTTTAAGTATGTATTTTTATTGCTTTGCTTTATTCAACTTCAGTTCATTATTGCATATGTACATATATTCTTCATCGTAATGTTATACGTCATAATTTCCCTTTAAAATTGAAAAACAATTTACATATTTTCCCGAGCCGGCGAATTTGTATCTTCGAGTCATTCCTTATACATATATATACCCATCGGCTCCTGCTTTAATATCTTAACCACCACATGCAACCACATAACACTTATCCACATGCTATTATTATCCATTTAAGAAACACGTGTGTATGTACGTACATATGCACATATGCTGCAACAAATGCAAACTAACTTTCAACCACCACCAACTTGTAATATGTAACCAATATTTTTTATGGTCCATTCTCCCCACCGATTGCTATGCAACAATCAAGCAATATTCATAACAATACAGACTCTTACAACGTATTATTACCCGTGTACATCTTGCCTACACTAAAACAGGTGTTTAGTACTCACTCTTACGTAAATATACAGTGAAAGCTTGTAAATCTCTTCGTAATTCGAGAAAACTAAAGAACTCATAAATAATTAAACGTTCATTAATTCCACGTTAACCAATTTACTCAGCTAAATGTGCAATTTCTTTAAAAATGCACGAATCTCCTCTCCGCGTTCAAAATTTGGACGAATCTCCGTCCAACAAACGGAGACGCCGTGCCACGGGGGGAAGTCTCACCCCGTCAACTTCGCAATTAGTCGAGCTGGATAATTTACCCTGGCTGAGTGACCCCAACTTGGACGCGATACAGCCCCCGTTGTCCTTCAAAGAACGCACGGTTGCCTGGTTAAGTAGGAATTTAGAGGACAAACATGTCCCTATATTTATTCCGTCGGTGTCACTTTTGCAAGTTAGTAAATAAATTTGCGAATCATCACATTCTTTTTGCAAAAATCGTTAAGGAAAGTTAATTTGCTTGACTAATAATATTAGTTACATAATTTGTGTAAAATGTTGAGGCAATTCACGCGGCCATTGGTACATATATGTACCAATGACAAATTTAACAAGTTTAAATATATATATTTAAACTTGTTAAATTTGTGCGCTTTCTGAAATGATTTTACAAACTTTTAAAAATAAAATGACGACCTTGACCTGGCAAAAATTTATGTAGCTGATTTTCCATAGGAACATTTATTAGTTTACATAATTTACGGATGTTACAAACTTACCCAGGCCTGCGTGAAATGCCTCGTTAAACACTAAACACATGTGTACATACTTATTTATGTACATACAAACATGAATGTACATTTATGTATGCATAATTTGACAGTTGTAATTGAATGCAAAACCCTAAATACTCGGATAAAAGTTCACATAGTTAAAATCCTTCACTACAAAAATAACTATAGGCATTGCATTATTAAATATTTGCATTAGTAATTCTGGTCGTGGTGTGAATGTTAATTTTAATTTTACCTAATGCTAAATAATGGGTTTCGATTCCCAAAATCTTAAGCAACAAAACAAATCATAGTTAAAATAAATGTACTTTTTTATTCTCACAGATTGGCCTCTATTACTCCGTAGGCTTCGATAAGCTACTCCTCCCATTTGGAATCGATCCATACAGACGATACGAAATTTGGAGATATGTCACAATTCTTTTGGTTCATAATACGTTCGTAATTATTTTTAGAATTTATTTACCATTGATAATGGTAAATTCACTTTGTGGGTATTCACGCAAATCAAAAGCGTCACTTCGCAACACATCTCTGCAACTTTACCGAATTTACGAAAAGTTAAATATTTGAAATGAAAAGACCTTCGCTAAAAATGCGACGAGGAAATAAATTTACGCTTTTTTACATATTTGGAAAAAATGAAGTATTCCGATCGGTTGTCGAATGGTACATAACTTTTTTCGCAACATTCGCAAAGCTGCAACAATATTTTGTGAAGTGACATTTACGGCTTTAGTTTACAAAGTTGACGTGAATATCCACAATTGTCCATCGATTAACGACGACTTAAATAATTACATATTTTATTAAAATTGCTTAAAATTGCATCCCTGCTTTCCAGCCCTCTCCACTTATGGGTCAATATCATTGGCCAACTAATTGTTGGCACGTTGCTGGAAATTTCTTACAATTGGGTCAAAGTTTGTGCCATATATTTGACCTCGGTGGTCGGAGGGTCACTCTCCATTACAATCTTCTCATCTCTAGTTTATGCATCCGGAGCGTCTGCAGGACAGTATGGGTTGCTATTTGGGCACGTTTCTGCACTAATTTTGGTATTTTTTTTAATTTTTGGAAAAATTTTTGATAATTGAAATGCTATTTTGTAACGAGCAGAATTGGCATACCGCGAGATGGAGACGGTTGCGTTTGTTCCTTCTCATTCTTTACTTAATCCTCGACATCGGGCTGGCCCCTGTGCTCCAACAATTGTGGGGAGTTCATATTAATGTAAAAAAAATATAGAGGCACTTCACGCAGTTCTTGGTAACCTTGTAAAATCTTGTTAAATGTACAAGCTTATACGAAATTTTACAAATATTTGTAAAGAAAATTAGCATAGAAATTTTTGCAAACTTGGTCAGACCAAGGGCGTTATTTTATGCAGTTTGTAAAATTATTTTCCAAAAGTTACCGATTTTATGAATAACATCGACTGCGTAAATTGCCTTAATTAAATTCTCTGAAATCTGTGTCCCAAAAAAGACTGCAATTTCTCCCCCCGTTTGTTTCAGGTGAGCAATTCTGCCCACGTGGGAGGCGCCTTGACCGGTTTCCTAGTTTCAGTCATATTCCTCAATAAATCTACAAGCCATAAATTCAAAGCAAATTTCTCCCGAATTGCAGCCTGTATTCTCATCTTGACTTTACTAGTTGTCTGCATCGGGATAAATGTTGCATTTCCGAACCGTTACCTGCAATTGGAGAATGAGTCTCTCAGGTTCGAGTACCGAAAGACGCATGCTCAGCATTACGAGCGAGAGTTATTAAAGTCATACACAATTTAGGAGAGTCACAATTTTTCTTGTGAAGCATATTAATTTAACCTAATTATTTATTTAGTTATATAAAAAGCTATGAATAAATATTTTTGTATCGATTCCTTTTACAAGGAGTAAAATTACACCGATTTTTATTAATTTAAAAAAATCATTGCAGCACAAAAAGAAAAACTGTCAGTCAGTTTTTGCCCAGGATAGAATTTAAATAGTTGAACTCTAACTGCATACACATCTATCTAACAATGCGATGACGCCAGCGGTCTCGCTCCGATTTTAATGAAACAACGATAATTATGTAGCCTTACATAATTGACCACTTGTTTCGGGATTTTTTATAATGCTCAGTTTAAACAAAGTTATGATGGTTTAATTGGCCGAAAATTCGCATTTTTCTCGTGAAGTTTTTCTTTTTTTGTTTTTGAGGGAGAAAAATGCGAATTTTCGGCCAATTATACCATCATAACTTTGTTCAAACTGACAATGGAGAGGTGTGAGGTGGTTATCGCCAATAACCACCGGACTAATTTTAAATTATTCAGCACCAGAAATAAGTGGACCCGTATTTTTTCGTTTTCCTGAATGGGCATGTTTTCGCCCTTGGCGGAATTTTCAAAAAAAATTTCACCCAAAATCAGCATTTTTAAAAATGCTGTAACTTTTCGAATTCTAACCCGATTTCAAAAATAAAACCCAATTTGTGTTCAGAATTACATCCCTGAAAATATAAAAATTCATTTTTTAAAAACTTTTAAACTAAAAAAAATTATCGTTTTTTGGGTTTCTACAAATTCAGAAATGGCATGAAAATATCAAATTTTTTTTAATTTTGAAAATGAATTTTTATATTTTCAGGGATGTAATTCTGAACACAAATTGGGGTTTATTTTTGAAACCGGGTTAAAATTCGAAAAGTTACAGCATTTTTAAAAATCCTGATTTTGGCTGAAATTTTTTTTGAAAATTCCGCCAAGGGCGAAAACATGCCTATTCAGGAAAACAAAAAAATACGGGTCCACTTATTTCTGGTCCTGAATAATTTAAAATTAGTCCGGTGGTTATCGGCGATAACCACCTCACACCTCTCCATTGTGAGAATCATAAAAAAATCCCGAAACACGTGGTCAATGATCAACTTCAACTATTCTTAATTTTTTTCTCAAGCAGAAGTCAATCTCAGTAGATTGGAAAATCTTTTGAGACAGATTTGTACTTTAGACTGCAGTCAATTAGCTTTATGAAATTTAGAAGATGATAAAATGCTTAATATAATCAATCAAGCCTTTTCTCAGTCTTGTCGACGTAACCAAAAACATTCAAGTCAATTATTTTATTTTGCACAATGATTATGTATATAACAAAACCATTTCGGTGCTGAGATATTCTTAATTTTCCTTCTTGGTCTTCCTTCCGTATTCACCACTTGGTACCTTGATCGGCTTGTTAACACCAATAGCTGCCGGGAATCGTGGAGCCTTATCCGGATTCCAGTCCAATTTTTGAATTCGTGCTGTACGATGTACACCGTTATCGTTCACGTCATCCGTGGCATGATAAACCATCCAAAGTTCGGAATCGTCTAAATATGTGCAAAAACCCGTAATGTAAATATTACTCTGGAATTCAGACTCTGAATTACTTCACTATTAGAAATCCAGTATTAAAATATTACCAAGCGGTATTCGCATATGACACTATCAAAGTAATACCATGTAGTAATAGCTTGGTATTGAAGTTTTACCGTATCGATAACAAATGTTCATCCTCGGGTAGAATTTTAATACCAAACCGTAGCTACTTTCACACCTGGAAATCACTACCAAGGTGTCAACACTGGATTTCTAAGAGTGTTCGTTATCTCGTGATTTACTTACCCAACGACCGCACGAAAGAGGCGTGTCCCGTCGTAAATACACGTTCCGCATCGTTCCTTTCGAACACACAATGATTCACGTCATTCCACCAATTCCTCGGAACTAGCGGATCTCTAAGGTCATCAATCCCCATAATTCCTAAACAGTAGTTTGGCGTGAAGGTGGAAGACGCGGAAAATACGAGGAAAGTCCGCCCCTCATTTTGAATGATGAATGGACCCTCATTCACAGGATAGCCGTGCTTCTCCCAGTCCATCGTGGGTGTTCGAAGCAGTGTCCATGGGGGGAAAACGCGAGTGGGTGACTCCATTTGAGCAATATACAGATTCATGGAGCCTCTCGGGTTCGGAAATCCGGACCAGATGAAGTACAACTCTCCGTTTCCGTACTGCAACACGGTTCCGTCAATGGCGAAGATTTCTTCTTCGGGGAGAAGGCTAATAAGAAATTAAGAATATGAATAGTATTGTAACATTAAAAAATGAGCAGCACATTATGTATAAATAAACCGTTGCCAGCGGCGTAGCCAAGGTGGGGGCTAGGGGGGCTTGAGCCCCCCCCCCCCAGAGCCCGTGAAAATAAAAAAAAAGTACTTAAAAAATTGCAAAAAAATTAAAAATAAATAAAAAATAAATAAAAAAGCAAGGTAGGTATATGTTACATGGAATTCGTTATTTCGTACGCTTGGTATTTTTTGTATCGAAAAATAAGGTACGACGGCTATTGTTCATTCAAAATTAATATGCAGTAAAAGATCGGAAAGGTTATTTGCGGATGAATTTTTTCCAGTACTTGAATTGGTTTAAGAATACATTATTTTCCAACTTTCGACTGGTTTTCGTTTAAAAAGTAGAATAATTGAATAGTTGTTAATGGCAATCAGTAATTTACGTCATTTGACATTTTAAAAAATTTTGAGGACTTTACTGCATATTAATTCTGAACGAACAGTAGGAGATTTTGTAAGCGTCGTATATGTAGCTGTACTAAAAAATCACACTACTAACAATACGCATGTATGTAAACACCAAATGGTTTTGTCCTATTTGAATCGGACAAATTTTAAATTGTTGGCGCACAAGAATTAAAATATCTACAGTTTTGCATTTTCGTGGATACGGGTACTTATTTGCCCCTTTAGCCGAATTTGTAACCAAAATCAGAATCATTCAAAATTCTATTACTTTTTCAATTGTAAACTGATCTTAGAAATTAAAGAAAATTAAGAAGAAAAATTGCATTTCAAAAACTCGAAATGTTAAAAATTTTGATATTTTTGAATTCTTCAAATTTCCAAAGTTGTATGCAAATTTCAAATTTTAAAAGTTTCTACCTAGTTGTAAAGGCTCAGTAACTTAGAGGGCTACAACTTTTGTAATTTTATATGTAATACAAATTTCTTGTAATTTGTAATACAAATACAAATTTCTGATTGATTGCATTTAAAAGCCAGTTAAATTTCAAGTTGGAAACAATTTTTAATCTTAAAAATTTCCTCCTCCTGCGTCAATGCCACGCTGAAGACGAGGCGGCAACTCCTCGATGGAATTACGCACAGATTCCAGTTACATTTTGTAGCATTCCGGGGTCAGAAATTTTTCCAAGCCTCCGCACTTCTGCGGGGCTTAGAACACACCTTTGCCCCTAACTTTGACCATTTTTCACATTCCGGTAATTCAAATCCAGCAAGGATGATGACCATTTCTGATTGGAGATAAAGACCGGAATTTGTTTTTTTTAGCTACGCTTGGGTCATTTTTTGCACTATAAGCTCGTGTTGAGTCCTGCTGAGAGGTCCCATTGATTCAATTGAATTGAATCTCACTTAGGGGATGTACCACGGACTCAAAAACATATTTTAAGAAATTTGATTCCTCCACCTCCCCCCAATTTTCAGCAAAATGTAGAGAAATTACCCCAATTAGCTCCCACCTGCCAAAATCATCAAAAAACCTGGATAATGTGGCTTTCTGTCCTTTTTTCTGTATCGGGGGATGTCTCTGACCGATTTTGCGTAGATTAGGACAACTCGCTTGTTAAAAGATTTTTCTGATGTGAAAATCTCCTCATTTGTAAAAGACTCCTGCTCACTTTTTTTGGAGCGTACCGCTTGAGGTGACTCCTGCATTTATTTAATCTAGCTTTCCTTTGGGGTTCGATCAGGCTGTGGCAAGTACCACATTTTAAAGCCTTAAGCCAAAGCTTCAATTTGAGCACTTATTGGATAATTTGCATCAACACTGTCAGCAGTGAGCCCAGTTTCCGTTAGAATTTCGTGAATTTCTTTGGATTCCAGGCTTGCGAGGCTAAACGATGGGTGTGGTCCTTGGAGGCTTTCAAAAAATTCTTCTTCGACTGTTCTTAGTCAGTCTGGTCCTCATGAACGTTTCTATAGTCGATTGGGCTAAATTAAAGTACACCTTTGACTTTTTCAGCACATGTCAAATTCACTATTTTTCTTCGATTTTTTTTGTGAAAAAATATCGTCGCCCGCTTCTTTTCAATTTCCTATATATTTATCCAGATGTTCAAAAATTACAAAGTCTATAGTGAATCATAATGTAAATCGCATGGCGAATCTAATGCACTTATCAGATTTTAATTCTGCAGCGTAGTTTTTTAGCAATCAGCTGGTGACACTTGAGCCTTTACAACTAGGTAGTAAAGTATTTTCTGTGTTTTTTAATAATTGTAATCGGGTTAAAATTGTAAAAGTTACAGCTTTTGAAAAATCCTGATTTTGGTTAAAAATTCGGGCAAAGGGGAAACTACGCGCATTGATGAAAATGCAAAAAGATTATTTCCGATCACGAAATGTTTAAAATTTGTCCGGTCAAAATCGGAGAAAATCACTTCAGGTCTCCTATTATAAGCTTACGGTTTTTATGAAGACTTCACTCTTCGGTTTTGATTTCTATGCTATTTTACGATACTTAGGATGCGAAGATAAATCTGGATACCAGTTTTGAATGTGAGGCGTGTCACACGCCGCGTGTGTATGCAATTCTTGGTTTAATTTTTCACTCGAATGTTCGAGACTTTTTTTAGTCAAAAATATTGTAAACTTCGTCGCCAAGGTTTCTATTAGACACATGCAAAGGGTGTGAATTTAATCCGGTAACATTTTTCTCTGTAAAGAAAATGTTTCTTTTTCGAAACTGCAGTTATTACAAAACTAATTTTTAAAAATGTGCACGTCATTCTTCACGTTATCAAATTTTTACATTTTCATAGCGTTGACGTAAATCGAATGCGGCTGTCAAATATTTTGTGGGACACGAGTTTTTTTTGATTAGGTTGTAAGTTGTGCGACCATATAATGCTGATTATTTTACGATTGTTTTCACCACAAAAAGCTACTTTGATAAAATTTCATTTAACCCGTTTTACGTTGTTATACTCCCTTGCATAATTTGGACAAGAACTATAAGTCATCTTATGAAATTTAAGAATAGTCACTGTTTGTCTGGTAGGTGAGACTGTTTTGGATTAGAGGTGAGCCAATTGCTCAGTTGAACCGAGCTTGCTCGGCTCGGTTCAACTGAGTTCGCAAAGATTTTTTCGAGTCGCACTTTTTCGAGTTTTTCCTTGAGCCGAGTTTTTGCGAACCGTGATTGGTCGAGCCGGGCTTTTGAAAACCGCTGCTCGACTCAACTCTATTTTAAATTGTTCAGGTCATTTTACATACATCCTTGAAAAAATTGTTGTTCCGGCATTGCTACGAACTTTTTCTAGCGCATCCGAAATTTGGATGATTTTAATTTTAATTAGAATTCATTGCTTCTAAATAAGAGCTGCATCTCAAATCTATGGTGCCTTTAGTCACCATTTATCTTCATTCCACCTACCTATGGTAAAACTTCAACGAAAAACAGGACGGGTTCAATAGCTGATTTTGTCTTGAACTGGGGCCAACCAGAGACTGGTCAATCCCGGATTAAGGATTGGGGATTGAGATTGGGTTTGGGGATTAATTAATCCTTAATCTCAATCCTTAATCCCGAGTTTTTGAATTTTAATCCTTAATCCCTAATCCCCAATCCAACTCAGTCAACTTTAATCCAAAAGTGGGATTAAAATGGGATTAAAATGGGATTAAATTTGTATTGACTAAAAACTTGAAAAGCAAACTTCTCTTGAGATCGCTCCCCTTTCGAAAATTGATTCCATTGCGTCCATTTTTACCAAACATTTAAAAATACTTCACAATATTTTGCAAAACTACTCGTATCGCGGTACCCTCAATCCATAATGTTCAAATTTTGTGTGAGCTTATAAAGAAATGTGAGTACTTTGACCAAACTATGATCGAAGCTGTTCGTTAAAATAGCACCAAGAATAAAATTAGAATTCTTCCTCTATGTAATTTTTAGCACAAAAAAATATTTAATTGCGACTTAGAAATTGTATTCGTAAGCGATCTAATTTTGTATGCAAAATGTTCAAAAGATTTCATTTTTAGAAGTTCAGAGATTTGTTTAATTTAATTTGTTTAAAAGTCTGGCATAATAATGCACTTTAATGCAAACAATTAACCCACGACTATGTAACTTAATTTCCAAACCAGTTAAACCCTAAATTTAATCCCGTGTTAATCCCAGTCCCAGATTAAATTTAATCCCGTATCAATACTAATCCTAAATTAAATTCAATCCCTAATCCCAATCCTTAATCCCAAAATTTGAAAAATTAATCCTTAATGCCCAATCTCAATCCCAAGATTTTAAATTTAATCCTCATTCTCAATCCTTAATCCCAATATCTTTAATCCGCCAGTCTCTGGGGCCAACAAATGAATGTTACCGGAATAAATTTAAACCTATTTATTCTTTGGTAGGCAACAGTTCGTTACCACCGTAAAAGAAAGTAGAAATTCACAGAAAAAGGCCACAGACAAATATCAGTAAAAGTCCCTATAATGTTACTAATTGCCCTAGTAGCTCAGAGGTCAGAGCACTTGACATGAATTCAAGGGAGCCGTGGTTCGATTCCCGGCTGGGTAACAATTTTTGGCATTATTCGGGATTTACGTATTTGATTTCTAAATAAATTTAAACCCTTTATATCAGTCCTTACATAATCTTTATATCAATTTATTCCGATGATGCCTTAAGCTCATTGTTGACTTTTGACAAATTTTTATAAAGCTTGGTATTTGAGTTTGATATTTAAATAGTCTTGACAATTTTTTTATTAAGCCCTTCATGTTGCTCATCTTTTGTCGTACAGAGAGTCGCTTTTTCTGCTGGTGACGAATTTGTCGTTGAATAACCCCGAAACGGTTTGTCCTAGCGGGTCAAAATTTTGAACAGACGAGCATGTTATCCTCAGATAGGTGTGTGCAAAATTTCAACTCTCTACGTTCAAAAATGCCTTCTCCACAACCCCTAGAGGTTGACATAGTCATTTTAACTTGCTCCAGAAAAAATCTCGGCTGTGTTTGCAAAAAAAAATATTTAAATTTTCTGTCAAGGAATCAGAGTGAGTTATTGGTGGCAATCGACGAAGCACTATTTTCCATACAAGTTACTAATTTGGTTCGAAGAGCTTACTACACGACAAATGCCGAAAACAATTCAAGAAATTTGGTGCTTTTCAGCGAGGAGAAATTTTTTAAACAGTTGATGGTCGCGGGTGCAATGCCGGGTCGTGGTGTCCTCGCACTTATCAAAGTCCCCACAAAAGTGAAGATATCTGTAAAGTATGATGTGGACCGTGTGTTTAAACAACTTTTACAATAATATTTTCTTCAATTGTACGGTAAAAATGAATAATGTGATTTTTCATCGTGACGCGGTGTCTTCCCAGACGGCAAAGTTCACCCAAGGTTATAAAAAGGATCTTGAAAGATAGGAGATAAAAATCATTTCGAATAGTGAAATACCTGTACAGCCTCCCAAGGTAAGTCTAATACACTTCGTTGGGTTCAGATATTTGCAAAGAAAAATTTTTCTGACGCACCGAATTTTTTAGACGGAGTTTGGAAAAAGTTAAAATGACTGTCTCAACCTCTGGTGGTTATGGGGGATTTTTTAACGTAGAGAGTTGAAATTTTGCACACAGGTATCTGAGGATAACATGCTCGTCTGTTCAAAATTTTGACCCGGTACGACAAAGCGCTTAGGGGTTATTCAACGACGAATTCATCACCAGCAGAAAAAGCGACTCTCTGCACAATTTTTCTTTAAATCCACAACATGTTATCTAAGAATCACAAAGTTGATTTTTAAACTAGCAACTACCACTTGAGGTGTGACGCTTTGCGCTAAAGACATTTGGTTCCACCAAACTTTAACCCGAATTTTCAGACCCTTGTTAATGTGTGATCTAATTTGTTTGTCATCCATAAAACCACTGGGATCAATTTGACACACACGGTTTACAACAGATAGAATAAATGTTTGAGGCGTTATTAGGTTAAGCATTGAATATGGAGTGCTTTAGCTAGTGGTTTTTGACGCTTAAGGTACCAGAAAAACAACTTAGAAACCCAACCCATAGAAACGGGTTGGGTTTGACCCCCCGATTTCGACGGTTTGTGTCATTTTTTAAATTTTACTCTAGAAACAAAGTTGGGGTAAAATAATTAAATATTTTTTAAAGCAACACCAACTTGTTGAGCTCAATGGTAGTCTGAAGATTTTATTGTAACCGAAAAACAATTCAAAAATTAGCCGGTCATGAACCGAGTATCTTAAAATTATGATTTTGTGCTTAAATTTTGTGTCGAGATAAATTACGCAGACATCACAGTTGTAACTACGTATCTATACCCTGCGTTAAACCGGTATTAATGAGTTAGCGTAGAAATTTTAAGCCTCAAAAGGGTAAGTTAAATATTTTTTGGCTGGGCCCCCCCTACAAGTTCCAATCCTGGCTACGCCGCTGACCGTTGCATATTTATTTGCAACGTATGCAACCGAGGGGTAAAACCAGTGTTAAAATTACAACCAAATTGTATTTATGTATCGAAAATCTGTTAAAATTGACACGTCTGACGTATTTTCGCCATTTGTTACCAATTGACTTCGGTTGGATAAGTATTTGCAAATGCTGAAAATTTGATATTTCACATGATTTTGTGCTAATTTAGGAAAATTATGACCGGTGATCTGGCTCAATGACTGTGTGACCTGAAGTCTTGCCGTTGACCTAAATAGGTTAGTTTTCAATGTATTTTTTGTCTGTATGTCGATGCATTCACAAGTTATTGGACCAAAAGGCGCGAGGGCGGACGGACCGACAGACGGATATAACGATCTTGTAAAGGGGTTACACCCTTAATTCTTACTCCGATGAGTGGTATTCGCAAAAGTTAATATATATTACCTAGGCAGTTACGAAGTTCTTTGATAAACGTTTTTTACTGCAGAAAAATAACGGGTAAGAATTTGTAATTAAAATTTAGGTACTCTACCACCCTGGTAATACTTGTTACCGAATTTATTAGTGTATATAAATTTAGAAAAAATCAACCTACCGTATTTCCCTACTCCACCGTCCCAACGGATTATTCGGGTCTAACGCTTGTATCACGTACATCCTATGGTTATCATTATCCACACCGTCATCCATCGTGAAGTACATGTATAATCCGCCTCGAATCAAGTGAAGTTCCGGTGCCCAAAGACTTCCTCGATTTCGTGGCGTAAAATAAACCGTTTTTCTCTCCACGTTTCGAAAATTTGAAAGGATTGGACTCTTCAGTACGTCGATTCTATCCCCTTGCGTAAAGACCAGGTAGTACCACCCATTTATTTTTATTATGGATGGATCCGCTGCCAACTCGTCGAGAATGGGATTAGTAAAATAACGGGCGTCGTATCTCAAACTGGTCGTATTTTGAGGAAAACTAAGTGCACACGGAAATCCAAATCCTAAACAGAGTAGAGTTAATAATACTTTTGAAAAATCCATGATTCCTTAATAAGAATTATTTAGTTTAACAGAGTATTAATAAAAGCTACATTAACTTTTCAATTTTTTTTATTCTGCAGCGTTTCACAACAATTTATAGACATATTATTGACGATCTAATTATATAAATATGAGGGGTCGTGCATAAATTATGTCACGCGAGGGGAGATTCTAAAATCTCGAATGATATCGTGTCTATGAGACACCTTTTAAATTGTCTAGAAATCGGGATTTTTCATTACATAATTTATGTACAGCCCGTAATACATATGTTCTGAATTCGTAGTATCATTCCATCATTTAAAGTGGACAGGTAGAGTTAATTAACGGTTGTGTTGAGCAGATTTGCAAATGATGGTTAAACCGCATCTGGACGAAGCAGGTATATATTTACACTCTAAATAAAGTTGTGTAAAATTTGCTCAAATCGTCGGTTATGAATTATGACCGAAGTGGTAGAATTGCATAGTGCTTCCGCCGGTAAGAATCGTATCACTCAAATTATTGAGAACATAGAGGGTGCATTGAGTAAGATTTACATACAACGTTGCGTACAATTTTGGAAAATTATTCACTTTAAGAAAATTTTACAGAGCGTCATTTAGATTGTACATTGTATGGATGTAGGTTGTGGTTGCAAAATAATGTGCAATACAATACTTAAATTAGATCATTTCAGTTTTATAAGTTTACGACTATATTTAGTTAAACTATTCGTGCTAGTCACCCCATTTCAGGGATGGTCAAAATACATGTATTTTAAAAATACAAAATACGTATTTTGTATTTTATATTTAAATACAAAATAATCAAAGTATTTTGAAAATACCAATGTATTTTGAGCCAGTGTTGGAAATTGTATTTTGTATTTTACAATTGGAAAAATGTATTTTCACTTCAAAATACAACATACTTTTCGAAAATACAATTATGTTAATCGCACTAGCTTGCCATCGAGTAGACGCGAAACGAGCACACTGCGAGAAAACAAGAGAACTTTTATAGAAGGTTTAAACGGTAACCGACAACTGAAGTAATTTCGTCAAGGCCTTTAGTACTTGGATTCGACAATTCTGATAACGAGGAAAATGAGGATGTGGACATTGAAGGGCTAGATTTTCTTGACACACATCTCGTATGATCTGTGAGATTCTAATTTAGACATTTCACTGTCATGCAACTTTGTTCTCAAGTCGCACAAACAGTGTAATGAGAACTTTGAAAATAAGCAAGCAATTTATGTAATTTTCGGTTAACTTGTTTTTTTTTAAATTAGTAAATCAGATTTACTAGTTAAAGAAATATGTTAATTTTTTTGGATCTACTAAATCCGAAAACGTGGCGTATTTTGTATTTCAAAAAGTATTTGGATACTAATTATTGTGTTTTGTATTTCAAGAAGTATTTAAATACTGTATTTTGTATTTTGTATTTTGGCAAAAAATAATCAAAGTATTTTGAAAATACAAATGTATTTTGGCAAAAAATTGCCGATGTATTATGAAAATACAAATGTATTTTGGGCTCTGAGGTGTATTTGTATTTTGTATTTTGAAAAAATGTATTTTGACCATCCCTGCCCCATTTGCAGATTTTGACGCCTTCTTCGCGAGTTTCTTCAACATGCAAAACCCGTATCAGCGAAACGGGCATAGTAGTGAGATTGATGCAAATAAAGTGACAAGCCTAAATAAGCGAACAGTATGAATATTGTGATAGTATGAGCGTGAATAAACAAGTTTCACGTTGCCCTTGGCACTCACTGCATTACCATCATTGTAATGACATGCAAAATAGATAATTATAACATTAAAAATATCTAACATACTTTCAGTAGAAATGCAACATTAGGGACAATGATTGTTCTAAGAAATAACTAATTACATTTGTTATTGATGGTGACGTTAACTCGAAGCATTTACATAAATTACTGCTAAATAGAACAATACACATATTTATGAAAGTACTTATTTACATTAATACATACATATCTACTTGTTCAAATGAAATAAAATAAATATGCTTCAGCAAGGAATCATAGTAGGATGTGTTTAGCATGCACACAATTTTAATGAATGCCTGTTCATCTTTTCCTGGAATAAAGCATCTATATTATAATTTCGAAAAGTCCGTCCCGTGAAATTTTCCGTGACATTCCTGCATTCTGATTGGTTATCGGCTTTCTAGCTCCACCAATCACAACACGGTTATGATATCGGTTATGATTACGGTTATGATTTCGGTTGTGATTTCGGTTGTGATTTCGGTTGTGATTTCGGTTATGATTACGGTTATGGATACGGTTATGTTACGATTAAGGTTATGATTTCGGTTATGATTTCGGTTGTGATTTCGGTTATGTTTTCGGTTATGATTTCGGTTATGATTACGGTTATGGATACGGTTAGGATGCGATTACAAAAGAAAGAAACTTTTGAAAAATTTTATTTATTTATATGAAGGAGAAATTGTCATTGACTTGGAACGTGGTAGTTTTGTAGTCCATGCGATTTACTCTCCAAATCAGAAAACCGGAAGTTAATATCTCGAATAGTTCAAAAATGAGAACCAAAAATTCAGAGCAACTCGCAAAAAAGATTTGCCACTACTACGAAAACGTGTGCGAGCGCGTCCGGATAATGGTTAATACCCACTTCGAAAGAGAAAAAATTCATAATGGGGCAATTTGCAGAGTTTTAGATATGTATAAGGGGAGGAGGAATGCTGAATTCAAAAAATAAAAAAACATCCAGCTCGTGTAGCGACCCCCAAAGTGATACGTAGACTTCAGCAGGAATACCAAAATAACCTTTGGATATCGGATGATAATTTGGGCTACAAATTGAAAATAGCAAAATTAAGATTACATGACATTAAACCTACGAAGTTGGGGGGTCAAATCCTATAGGGCAACACCTGCACCAAAGTACAACCAAGGCCAGCAAAAAAGAGCAAAGCCCAGCTCTCAGCAGATTGCTGAAAAACGAGCCAAGCAAAACATGCCCGTGATTTTGGTCATGCATGATGAGACCAAGTGCTCGATTGATCCAGATGAAGTCCCTGGGAGGAAGTACTACTCATGTACTAATAAGAAAACGTTTAAAGATTCCTTCAAATACACGCCGAAGTCAAAATTCCCCACAAAGAACATATTCGGGCAAGCATTGGACTCATTGGGGGACGTCTCAAAACCGTCCGTGACCACAGCCACCACGACCTCGGAGAAATATCTGAACGATTGTGTAAAGAAGATCTTGATCCCCTTTATCAATAATCGTAACGTACTTTTCTGACCGGACACAGCAACATGTCATTCTTCAAAAGTTGTTCTGGACTACCTGCGGTCGAAAAAAATCGATTTTGTTGCAAAAAAGGAATATGCTCCCTACGTCCCTCGGGCAAGACCAATTCAACGATTTTGGGCATTATGCAAGAGACAATATAGTCGTCGAACAAAACCACTCAAAAACTTGGTAAGATTCCGTCACATTTAGACACACACCTCAAAAGTGGTAGCGAGAAAGAGAGGCAAAGCACTTCTTGGGACCGTGAGACAACAAATTCGCCAGATAGGAAGGATGGGGGTCAGTGGTTCGTATCAAGCAAAAAATTGAATGGTCGAGACCTTGTTTATAATCCCTGAAAAGTTTCTTTCTTTTGTAATCGCACCCTATGTTATGATTAAGGTTATGATTTCGGTTAAGATTTCGGTTATGATTACGGTTATGGATAAGGTTATGTTATGATTAAGGTAATGATTTCGGTTATGATTTCGGTTGTGATTTCGGTTATGATTTCGGTTATGATTTCGGTTAAAAATTTCTTTACCAACAACGTTAACACATTTCCTCAGCAACATAAAAAAATTCCTTAGCAACATAAAACAAATTCCTTAGCAACATAAAAAAAATCCTTAGCAACGTAAAAAAATTTCCTTAGTAACATAAAAAATTCTTTAGCAACATAAAAAAATTTCCTTAGCAACATAAAAAAATTTCCTTACCAACGTAAAAACATTTCCTTAGCAACATGAAAAAATGTCCTTAGCAACATAAAAAAATTCTCTAGCAACGTAAAAAAAATCTTTACCAACGTCACGAAAATTCCTTAGCTACGTCGAAAATATTCCTTAGCAACGTTCGAGTCCATTTGCCCCGTCTTCAGGACGGGCTTATAGGCTAGTTACAAATATTTTACGAAGGGAAAAATCATCCTACCACAATGGAAAAATGTGTAGCGAAGGACTCGCCAAAATTTCAATAATTTTTGCATGACAATTGCCATGCCAACTGATACATACATTTCTGTGTAAACATTGGAATATTCAATTGTTTATAAGTTTTACGATGTAGTCAGTGACTACTAGTCACTATGACGATTTTCCTGGGAAACATACAATTTCTTGGTTTTGGCCGTACTTGACCTCAATTTCCTTTCACGGATCTTAATTTAAGCACAGAAATGCTCAGCTTTTAATTACCTAGCTCACCTTAACGTGTAGGACAATACCCAAGCAACTGGAAAAAGCACAAACCCTCGTGTTCTGCATGCACACATGAAGAGTAATCAAGAACAATATGAGACCATGAGACAAATTTATGTATTTAGTGACAATACATGCTCCTACAGAGGTAGATAAAATTATGGATTTTGCCAAATATATTTTTAAGGTTAGCCCCAAATGACATTTTCACCAACTTAATTCGTTTTTTTCCGCCATAAACATGCTAGGGTGACCTAAAATTCAAATGTTTAGATTCCTCAACTTTGAAAGCTAAACAAGGGTTGAACTCATATAACTTCAAGGACGTCCATGATTTTATGGCCTAATGTACGTATAATGAGAGTTGTAGACTCATTGGGAAATATAAATAGTCACGGAAGAATTTCAAATGCCCTTCGTGTATGAGTTTCTTAAGAGAAAGTAAAATTGTTAAAAGCTATGTGCCGTTGTAACGTAAATATTTTATAAACACAGAAACAAAACTTTGCTTCATACAACTTACTCAGCCATTAATTGATGTCAGGCGAGTGCATTTTTTATCTATTGGTCGATCG